TATTCTATTCTATTCTATTCTATTCTATTCTATTCTATTCTATCCTATCCTATCCTATCCTATCCTATCCTATCCTATCCTATTCTTATTGTACCCTATGACTATTATTAAGTGTTGTACCTGATGATTCTTGACTCTTGACGAAGGCATCTTTTCTTTTATGTACCCTGAGAGCATTTACACCAAGACAAATTCCTTGTGTGTCCAACCACACTTGGCCAATAAAGAATTCATTCATTTATTCAGTGAGGACAATTAACCAATGGAACAGCTTGCCACCAGAAATCGTGGGCACTCCATCACTGAAGGCTTTTAAAAAGAGACTGGACAGTCGCTTATCTGAATTAGTATAGGTTCTCTTGCCAGAGCAGGGGGCTGGATTAGAAGACCTTCAAGGTCCTTTCCAGCTCTATTCTACTCTAATTCTAGGAGGCAAGCTTTAGCCAAACCGATGAACAAATAAGACCTATATGGCCTGAACTTATTCTGAAGATCATTTGAAATAAATGCTTTGGACCTTGTGTGTGTGCACAACACCCCCTCTGATGGTCATTCACGGAGCCTGACCTTTTTCAGGGATTCAGTTTACACGTTCATAACTGGGTTCTGTAAAACCACTTGTCAGGACTGTCCCAACTTGGTCCTCAGGAAAGAAAGACCCTCGACTCCATGGTTGAAGTGAAAGGTTTACTTTAACTAAGTTCAAGGGGTTACAGGATAAGCAAAGCTGGATCTGAATATTTCTGCGTTTTTTTCCTGGTCTCTCATTCCCTCCCTCTTGACCAGTCCATCAGTGTCCAGTTGTATTTGTTTTAGGGGTTTGGGAAAAGGCATTGAGGTTTGGCACCTTTCTGTAATAGTTTTACATTTCACTCTCACTGTCTGTCCTTGATCGACACTTTTGGTTCCTGACACTCTATCATCCCCTCCCTTCCTCCCTTTGCTCATTCCCTATTTCCCCATCCTCCTCCCCACTTCCCCTGGGTTTTATGCAGAGGTGGCATTCAGCAGGTTCTGACCAGTTCTGGAGAACCAGTAGTGGATATTTTGAGTAGTTTAGAGAACCAGCCAATGCCACCTCTGAGTGGCCCCGCCAACCCCATCTCTTCTCTGCCTCCCATTGAGTCCCAGCTGATTGGCTGGGTCTCCTTTGGTTGCCCTGCACAGGAGAACGGCTGGAAAGCAGGTTAGTGGGGTGGGGAGGGAAGGGGGATTTTGCAGTGACCTTCCCCCAGGAGTTGGGAGGGAATGGGATTTTGCAGTATCCTTCTCCTGCCACTGTTGTGGTTCGCTGGCAGCAGTTGCGGACGGCTGAGGTCAGGGTTGCCAGATCGCAGTTTGGCTCTGCGGCCAAACTCAAGTCAAAATACGGCCAAAATTGGCCAAATTATTTTTTGCTCATAGTGACGCGCATGCGCGAAGGAAGGAGAGCGCCAGAGGACGCGCTTGTCCTCCTTTTGCATGTGCGAGGGAAGGAGAGCTCAGGATGGGTGGGGAAGCCGAGGGGCGTGGCATTGGAACGAGCCGTAATAGGAATGGGTGTGGTGTTGATGGAGGAGGAGCCGCCCCTGCTCGGGTCACAGGTGGGAAGGGGGCGTGGCCGGGCGCCAAGGTCCCAAAGGGGTGTGTGATGGGAGTTGAGAGGAAGCGGGCATGTCGGAGAACTGAGAGGACGCGCTTGTCCTCCTTTTGCTCATGGTGACGCGCATGCGCGAGGGAAGGAGAGCGGCTGGGTTGCCATCTGGCTGATTTCACGGCCAAGCAACTTTCATATGGCCAAATTTCCGGCCAAATAAATTTGGCCGGAGACATCATTTTTTTCACGGCCAAGCAGATAGAAATACGGCCAGATTTCTCGAATTTGGCCGGAAAAATAGCCAGATGGCAACCCTGGCTGAGGTCTTGGAGAGCGAGGACTCAGATGAGGGGCCTGCGTGTGAGGCAGGGATGGGGCCAGGACCTTCAGGGAGTGGAATGCTGTCTTTGGAGATTGTGGAGGCTGGCAGCAGTGAGGAAGTGGACCCCGAGGAGCCTGTGCCTAGTGCATGTGGGCGCAGAGCTGCTCGAAGGAAAAAGCAGCTGCAGTAGCACGGGAGATTCAGGAGTAAGGCTGCAAGATAATGGCCCCTCCCTTAAGAGATAAAAAGCCAGCTGAGAAACCAGAGTTCTTTGCAGGAAGCAAAGAAATTTTTGCACTCAAGTCTTGTGGAGGTTCGGACTTTTCTTAGTTTTTGTTTGGAGACTTTTTGTGTTTGAAATATTTCTTAGCAACTTTATCTGTTGTTCTTGGCAGCCTTGCACCACCTTGGCAAGGATGGTTCTTATCGGAGACAATTAGTTTGAAACAGCCTTTTAACCGGGAAGGAACGGAATTCGTAAAGAATCATTAAAAGGTTTTGCTGTTACCTCCGTTTCATGTTTGCTTCCTTGGAACAAGGTTTGGGTCAGAACAGCCATGCCCACCAAGCCATGCCAACAGAACGGGTAGTAAAATTTTTTGAACCCCACCACTGGTTTTATGGCAGGATGCCAGCAGAAGCAAGGTATGGTGAAGATGGCCGGCCTGACACAATTCTTCCTCACCCAGAAGCCTGAAAAAGCTGGGGATCCTTTAATGAACGGCAGAGAAGGGCTGTGTTCTGCGAAGGCCAGAGCGCTTTTCCCAACCGTGCTCAGTCCAAATCCGCCATTCCAAAGCTTCTGATCTTAGTTTCCTTTATTGTCATTGCACCTCGTACAACGAAATCAAACACTTCGCTCACTGCCATGATCTGCTCATCCCCAGTTAGAAGACCATTAAATATATGTATAGAATAGGTGTGTGTATATGACATAAATCAAAGGCTATGAAAAAAGATCTTGCAAACTGTAAAAATAAGAATGCTTTTAACTTTTCTTCCTTCTTTTTCTTTCTTTTTTCTTTCTTTTCAATCTTTTCTTTTCTTTCTTTTCTTTCTTCTTTTTTCTCTCTCGTTTATTTGTGTATGTATCGTTGGTTGTTTTTAATTGTAAAAACTAATAAACTGGTGTGTTGTTTTTTTTTAAAAAAGAAGACCATGAAACCCAACTGACCAGGCCTTCCTTCCTCCACCCCACAGGGTGTTTGTTCTGCTCCTTGTCGTCATTTCCATTCTGTGGATCCCGCTGGTGCAGGCCAGCCAAGGTGGGCAGCTCTTCATCTACATCCAGACCATCAGCTCTTACCTGCAGCCTCCGGTGGCCATCGTGTTTATCCTCGGATGCTTCTGGAAGCGGACAAACGAGAAGGTAATTCTGAGCACTTTTGGGTGGCGTCGGACCTGCCAGCACTTAAACCTCTAAATTGAAACGGTCCTTGGCTCCATTTGTTGAGAAAGGTATAATTTTATGAGAAGTCAATTGTATTGCAGCAATGCATAGACGGAATCATGTGCCAAAATCCCCGAAATTCAACTTTTCCCTCCCTTAACTGCCACCAACCACTGACCCCCATGACCAATCAGGTTCAAGAAAGATATTTCCCGAATGGACATTTCAAGCATAGTGTGATAATACGAGGCGTGGCACAAAAATAACAGTCACAAAAATAGATAAATTCCCTTTAATACCTCCAACTTGGCCCCCAGTGTCCAGTTATCCTCGGCTGGAGATCAAACTCTTCCAAAAACAGTCTGCAAAGAGAAGAAATGCAGTCGGAACCCAAAGTAGAGATAAATTAGAAATAAAAAAAAACCAACACAAACCACGCTGAAGTAATTAACATGACAGGCCAGGATAATAAATTGCAGACTTTCAAAAGATATCGAACCACACACAGTTGGGAAGACAGCAAAACCCAAATAAGCCTCGACAAAGATAATGCACGCTTTGCTTCCAGCAAGGTGCTGTATGCAAACACCCTTCTAATATCCTTTACTCCCAGCTGCAACTAATGAAAGGGATCAGGGCCCTTTTCTCTCCCGTAAGCCACATTGCTCCCTTCTCCGTTCCTCCCTGCATGCCCTAAGATGAAGAGGAGGTGGCCCTGGGTCTTCTTCTGAATACCCAGCCAGACTGTGCCCTTCTCCCACTTCTTCCACAGCCACCGGAGCCACATTCCCACTCCCTGTCAGCTGCTCAATCTCTCCCTCAGAATCAGACTCCAACAAGGGCATGACACGTAATTGGTATGCAGCTGCCTTCTTCTCCCAGCTGGGTGATCTTGAAGCAGACTCTCAGGGAGACCCAGCAGTTACTTCCGCTTTCCCCCAAAGCATTCTCCCTCCCATCCATCCTCCCCCAAAGTTCATGGCAGACTGTCACTGCATGGTAGCGAAACATACAAGCAAGTATAGATGGCAGCTGACAGGTGGCCCGTAAGCTCTTGTGGTTCTTAAAAGAGGGCAGTTGGTTGAGGGCCAGAGAACTAACCTGGTTTCTTTTGTTGATGTTCCTTCAGGGGGCATTTTGTGGCCTGTTGGTCGGCATGGTGATAGGCCTGATCCGGATGGTTTTGGATTTCGTCTACCTGCAGCCGGGCTGTGGGGAGTCAGATGACCGGCCAGCTGTGGTGAAATACGTGCATTATCTCTATTTCTCTATGATTCTGGGAGTGATCACACTCATCGTAGTGGTGGCTGTCAGCCTCTTGACGGAACCCCCTCTGGAGGAAATGGTATGCGCATTGAGAAAGATGTTGGCTGTTTTCACTCTCGTGGTTTAGTGCTCTGCTTAGACTGATCTGGCTACCTAGAATAAAACCAGTGAGAAGGAATTTGACCTAAGAGTTGTGTAGAGCAGGGCAACTTTAAGACTTGTGGACTTCAGCTCGCAGAGTTCCTCAGCCAGCAAAGCTTCTGGGAGTTGTAGTCCACAAGTCTTAAAGTTGCCAAGGTTGGAGACCCCTAGTGTAGAGAAAAACAGTCGGCCAGATGGATAGAACAAATACCTGTCTCAATAGAAATACTTTATTTTCCTGAATTAAGCCTTGCAGACTCAAGCTTCATTACATGCCAGAAATAGGTTGGTTGGAGTTCTGTTTTGCAGTGAAGTCTTATTCCTAAGGCAGTAGCAATAGAAGAGTTGGAAAGGACCTCAGAGGTCTTCTAGCCTAACCCCCCGCTCAAGCAGAGACCCCATACCACTTCAGACAAATGGCTGTCCAGTCTCTTCTTAAAAACCTCCAGTGATGGTGCATCCACAACTTCTGAAGGGCAGCCATTCCACGGGTTGTTGTTCTTCCCGTCAGGAAATTCCTCCTTAGTTCTAGGTTGCTTATCTCCTTGATTAATTTCCATCCTTTGTTTCTTCTCCTGCCTTCAGGTGCTTTGGGAAATAAGTTGGTCCCCCTCTCCCTTCAAGTGTTGGAAGACTGCTATTATGTCAGGTATCAGAGATGGGGGTTTCTATAGAGAGGCAGAAACTATGGTGGACCCAGGAAAAATATGCAAACTTGCCACAGTAGCAGAGGCCAGAAAGTATGCAGAACTTCTGCATCTTCTCTGTTTAGCTGGGCTGTAAAGACCCTTGGGACTCTTCCTGTCGACTTTCTTCATGCTTACCTCACCATCCAAGCCACACTGGCTGACCACACTGTCAGGCGAGGGTCCAGGAAGGCCCCGTGCTTGGAATGGCAATGGTGGAGCACCAGCCCCAGTTGCTGGCAATGGGAAGTCACCTTCCCTGGTTGCTCCTGTCAGCCTCTTAGAACGTTTCTTTTGGGGCAGGAATTGTGCTGATGATTTCATTCATTCTGGCTAGTTTCATCCTGTGATGACCCAAAGGGGCGTGGCACAAAGGCAACACAGTCAGTTAATCAGTAGGAGTCCCTTTTATTACCTCCAACTTTTACCCCCAATGTCCTGGTTACTTTCTGGGCTGGATAAAAACTCTCCCAGGAACAGCCTTTGGCTGCAGAGAATCCAAGTCCAAAACATGGTCAACAAAAACTGTAACTATAAGTCCAATCAAGGCAAAATAAGGTAATTAGTCTGGCAGGAGCAAGAACTCCAAATGTGAAGGCACGGCAATAAGTCAGCATGGTTGGGAAGACGCCAGGAACACAGATAAGCAAAGTCAACACAAGATAAACTCATGTTTGCTCCCAGCAGCTGCTGCACTCAGCTTGCATCTCTTTTAAACTCTCTTCCCAGCTGTGGCTAATGAAGGGAATCAGGACCCTTTCCTCCCCCCTAAGCCACGCAACTCACATTGCTCCCTTCTCCGTTCCTCCCTGCGTGTCGTAGGATGAAGAGGGGGTGGGCCTGGGTCTTCCTCTGAACTTCCTCTCCCTTGTTCTACCTCTTCTCTGCTCTGCCCAGCCAGACTTTGCCCTTCCCCAGCCTCCTCCACAGGCAACGGAGCCACATTCCCATTCCCTGTCAGCTGTCCATCTTCTTCCTTGGATTCAGATTCTGACAGGGGCATGACACATCTTCTCTGCAGCTGCAAAACAGCAAATCTGCTCTCAATAAGATTTAACAGATGAACAGAGTTGGAAGGGACCAGTGGTGGGATTCAATTTTTTTTACTACCGGTTCTGTGGGTGTGGCTTGGTGTGGCAGGGGAAGGACAATGTAAAATCTCCAATCAGAAGTGGTATTTGTCAGTTCTCTGAACTACTCAAAATTTCCGCTACTGGTTCTTCAGAACTGGTCAGAACCTGCTGAATACCACCTCTGGAAGGGACCTTGTAAGTCATCTAGTCCAACCCCTTCCCCCACCCAAGCAGGAGACCCTACCTACACCATTTCTGACGGATGCCAGTCCAGTCTCTTCTTGATGAACTGGTCGTGTTAACTGGCTTACCGAAGGATGGCACTGAACTCCAATGGTGGCGCCATTTGCATGTGGAATGCCTTTGGATCGCCAAAAGAAATAAAGCAGAAATATTTATCCTGGGAATTATCAAAGGGGATTATATGAAAGAGATAAAATACCTAATCCTGCATATAATTACAGCAGCGAGATTTGCACTCGCACAATGTTGGAAAGGAGATTCTATACCAACATAATCCAAAAGATTTTTGATTGTGCGGATATGGACAATTACATTAGAATTAAAAGAGAACAAAGACTCAGATTATTATACAGTTTGGGAAAATTGGTATCATTGGATAAATAATAGAAACAAGCAATCAAATAGATAAGGAATGTCTAGTTTAGAAAGATAGAGGTATTTATGTAAGAACAACTAGGAGTATAAAATGTGCACTGGAATAACAATTGGAATATAAGTACTGTCAAAATGGATTGTAATATACACAACATTTTCATTTTAAATATCTGTATTGTGTTTTGTAATTTAATGTTTTAAATTTTTCAATAAAGGTTATTTCTTTATAAAAATAAGAAAATAAAGCCATTCTGTCCAACCTGTTTTTTCGTCCAAACAGATCAGCCGCCTCACTTGGTTTACCCGCAAGGATGTTCCAAGAAAACAGGAAGTACCAATTGCATCGTTATCCATCCCAGTCAAAGGAATCCATGAGGCTGGTCCTTCTCCCGCGGGGCAGCTGGAAATCGCGGATGGCCCAGAAAACACTTGCAAAAACCGCTCAGGTAATAGGCCCGTCTGGATGAGGAAGGCCAGGAGTTGTGGCTGCAGAGGGGTTGTGCCTCCTTGACCCCCTTCTCCAAAGGGACAGAGCAGAGGGGAAATTGGCCGGGGTCCCATTCTCTCTCTCTCTCTCTCTCTCATCTATCTATCGACTGTCTGTCCATCTGTCTGTCTGTCTGTCTGTGTCTATGTCTCTCTCTCTCTCCCCCTGTCTGTCTGTCTGTCTGTCTGTCTGTCTCTCATCTATCTATCTATCGACTGTGTGTCCATCTGTCTGTCTGTCTGTCTGTCTGCCTGTGTCTGTCTGTCTGTCTCTCTCTCTCCCCGTCTGTCTGTCTGTTTGTCTCTCTCTCTCTCTATTTATCTATCTATCTATCTGTCTCTCTGTCTGTCTGCCTGCCTGCCTGCCAGCCTGCCAGCCTACCTACCTACCTACCTACCTATCATGCCTGTCTGTCTCTCTCTTTCATCTCTCTATATCATCTATTTCCCTCCCTCTTTGTATGTATTTTATTCATTTTAAACACCAAAAACATCATACATACATACATACATACATACATACATACATATACATACATACATACATACATGCATACATACATACACATATACATACATACATACATATCCGCTAATTAGCCAATTAGAAGCAAACCTAAGAAATGGGCCCATAACACATGTGGAGACCCAGACAAGGATTCCCAGCCAAGTCTTTAAAGCCTTATGAAAAGTCATCAGGATTGGGGCCATTCTAATTTCTGAGGGGGAGTTTAGCATCGTACCCCCCTTTTTATTCTCCATAATGAAAGGGAGGTGAAAAACCCTTGATTATAGATTAACAGAGTTGGAAGGGACCTTGTAGGTCATTTAGTCCAACCCCTCTGCCCAAGCAGGAGACCCTACGCCATTTCTGACAGATGGCAGTCCAGTCTCTTCTTGAAAGACTCCAGGGATGAAGCTCCCACAACTTCCGAAGGCAACTTCTGTTCCATGGGTTGATGGTTCTCCCTGTCAGAAAGTTCCTCCTTATTTCCAGGTTGAATCTCTCCTTTTATCAGTTTCCATCCATTATTCCTTGTCTGGCCTTCGGGTGCCTTGTTAAACAGCTTGACCCCCTTCCTCCTCTCTGTGACAACCCCTCAAATATAGGAACACTGTTATCCTGTCTCCCCTGGTCCTTCTCTTCACTAGACTAGCCAGACCCAGTTCCTAATATAAAAGATATTGATCCTGACCTACAGCGAAAAGGGGAGGATTCGGACAGATCTCCTTCCCAACCCCAGGTGGCCTTGATCAGCTGAGTTTCTGTCCAACCAATTGGTTGGTTTCCAAGTGCAGGTGAATCAGGAAGCCAGCAGGACCTGTGAACGAAGGCTGGGCAGGATCCCAAATGGCATCCAGAGCTGGTTTGCTCAGTTGTCTGTGCAGATTCACCCCGGTCACAGTAGTCCCAAGGGAGCTTTTTCCAAAAGGCCAACTGGACATTTCTTGGGTTCTTCCTTGTTTTCAGGGAGACTGAGATGCACTTTTCTGGGGACGAAGTAATTTCTTGGCTCCAAAGCAATTCTGGGCATCCCACATCCTGGCTACAAAATCAGGGGAGCCCCCTCCCCCCAACAGCATCAAAGAGATTGGAAAATGGTACTGATATTAGAAGCCCCAATATCTAGGGATTCCCAGAGGGAGCATCCCAGGGCTGCCTTCCTCTCCATGGTCTTGTAGTGACCCCTAGAGGCGATTGTTGGCAAAGCCCAGGAGATCCCTTGCAAAAACCCTTCACAAATTTGTAAAAAAGTCAAATTAGGACATTAAATCTACTAATCTGAGCTTTAACATTTATAATGATACATTCTGGGATCGGCAGCTAATCTGCTTTTGTTTTTGGCACCTTTGAGTCAGCGTTGAGTCCTAGAGACCATCGGGATCAGTCCCAGAACTTGCCAGCAAATTCCAGAGGTCCAAACGGGGAGATTTTGAGTAAACTGTGGAGTTATTTTTTCAGATTAACAGAGTTGGAAGGGACCTTGTAGGTCATCTAGTCCAACCCCCTGCCCAAGCAGGAGATCCTACACCATTTCTGACAGATGGCAGCCCAGTCTCTTTTTGAAAGCTTCCAGTGATGAAGCTCCCGCAACTTCTAAAGGCAACTTCTGTTCCATGGGTTCCACGGATTGATTGTTCTATCAGAAAATTCCTCCTTATTTCTAGTTTGAATCTCTCCTTGACCAGTTTCCATCCATTATTCCTTGTCTGGCCTTCAGGGGCCTTGGAAAATATCCTGATCCCTTCCTCCTCTCGGGGGCAGCCCCTCAGATATTGGAAGGCTGCTCTCCTATCTCCTCTGGTCCTTCTCTCCACTAGACTAGCCAGGCCCAGCTCCTGCAACCGTTCATCGTATGTTTTAGCCTCCAGTCCTCTCATCTTCTTACCGCTGATTGTCTTGCCTGCAGGTCCTTTGGACACAGAGAAGACAGAGAAGAAATCTAAATTCATGAGCCTCTTTTTGTGGGTCTGTGGGATGGAGAGCAGAGATAATAAGGACTCACCCGGGACGGCTGCTGAACCCAAAGCTGGAGTCACGGCCACGGCTACCCTTGACGAGCCACCTCTGGTGAAGCACATCCTCAACATCAACCTGATCTTGTGCATCAGCGCCGGAGTCTTCCTCTGGGCCTACTTTGCATAGCATCGGACCCTTCCAGCCATTGCAGAGACGCTCTTAAGTGCTTTGGGGCTTCCATGCCTGGGGATGCCATCAAGAACAAGGAGCATCAAAGAGAAGATGACGTGGCGATCCTGCACATTATACGGTTTTTTTGTATCCCATAAGAAAAAATGGTAGAATTATGTGAAGAATTCTGCCTTGGCTGGGTCAGGGCAGTGAAGGAAAGACAAAGCCCTTTGTTGTAAACGTTGCACGTTCAGTGCATGTAAAAACAAAACAAAACCAGTTTTGCACTTTTGACTGTTTTATTTCCCACGGATGCTCTTGGATCAGAATCAAAAACAAACAGCATTCGTGAAGCTCTAAAAAAAAAAAAAAAAAAAGCCAAGCGTACTTTTAGTCAACTCACTGTGTCTTCTTGGACTACGGAGAAATATTTGATCAAATCAGATCTGGATGGAATTGCATGCAAAATGCTGCTGCACGTTGGCTTGACGGCAGAATGTTATTTGAAGAACAACGGTGTGGCGGCTAGGTTTTTCCCTATAGTCACAGGGGCTTAATAGTGGATTCTGTTTGGCCACGTCCTCTGTGTGTTTTTGCCACGTTGTGGTACTTCACGGGCTGTCTGTGGGGTAGGAACAAGTTAAAAAAGGCAAGCCACTGCTCACCTGATGCTGCAGTGCCAGGTTGGGATCTGTTCCTTAGGCCAGTTCTCTTCATGGACATCTTCTTTGAGGAACTTCAAAAAACCCCAAGAAAAAGGGTTTGTAGGTGCAGCTGTATCCCGAGGACACTTTGGTGGGCTGATGCAATGGACACGGAGACCCCTTCGTCCGTTAGGCAGAGGGTCCCCCGACTCAGCTACCAGCAGACTGTCCTGCAGGAGCCCCCACAGCTCAGTGGCCTAAGAGCATCTTCCAGAGCCAGCAGTCTGGGTATCCCAGACAGGAAGTCCATTCCACCCTTATGGGCCTCGTTCCTTTCAGCTGCTGGACTGGGCTGCTGTAAACCCTTAATGTTAATTGAAGCATGGTTGCAATGACATAGGGGGCCAAGCCTAATAGAGGGTGATTAAGTTGGGCTTTCCAAACCCAGACATGTAAACCATGGTTTGTGGCTAAGTGCAGGACAGTGTTGAAGACAGCAGCTTTCCACAGATCTGAGCTTGACCTCAAGGGTCTCAGCCACAAGGAAGATGCCCAAACATCACTGGCATTTGCTTATTGTTCAGGTGTGTTTGGTGCACAGAGATTTTTTTCAGGGGAAGGAAGTCATGCTGATGACAAACAGGCTCTGATTAAAAAATGTTGCTTAGGGAAATGTGGGAGAAGCTGGATCTTTAACTGGAAAATGAAGCTATGGGAGGGAAGACGAGAAACCCAAGGGCTTCCCCACCACAATTCTGCGGGCAGTGCCAGCACAGACTGTGGGTCCCTCATGTTCAGTAGGGCATCTGCGCAGCGGTAGGGTTCCAAATTGCACGCTACTGGTTCCGTGTGCGCATGCACTGCACTCAAAGATGACTTCCTGCATGCGTGCAGCACTCAAAGATCGCCTCGCGTGCACAGAACTCAAAGATCGCCCTAGGTGAGGTGAGCTGTTTTTTTTAGCTCAGCTGAGGCGTGGCTCTGCCTTGCGAATCAGCCGAGCTGAAAATCAATGGAATATAGGACGAGAAAGGGCGGGGGCGGGTGGGCGGGGCCAGTCAGAGGTGGTATTTGCCAGTTCTCCAAACTGGTCAAAATGTCCGCTACCGGTACATCAGAACTGTCCGAACCAGCTGAATACCACCTCTGGATCGGTGGGCAGCACCTCTTCCTGGGTGCAAAAAAAATGCAAAATGTATTGTTTACCTACTTTGCAAGTAACGGCAGGTTTTTTGTGGTGTTTTTAAAAAGATCAACATGTGTGTTGCTATTTATTATTCTGAACAGAGTGAGGGGCCTCTGCAGACATGCTGCTCTATCCCTGGGCTCTGCTGGTTCTCCTTGGGTCAGGTTTCTTCTCCAAGCACCCATGAGCCTCGGTGGCGCAGTGGTTAGAGTGCAGTACTGCAAGCTATTTCTGCCGACTCCCAGCGGACTGCAATTTGGCAGTTCAATTCTCATTGGTTCAAGGTTGACTCAGCCTTCCATCCTTCTGAGGTGGATAAAATGAGGGCCCAGATTGTTGGGAGCCATAGGCTGACTCTGTAAACCGCTTAGAAAGGGCCTGGGAAGCGGTATATAAGTCTAAGTGCTATTGCTAAGGAAGGAAGGAGGGAGGGAGGGAGGGAAGAAGAAAGGAAGGAAGATAAGAGGAAGGAGGCCATCTTGGTGCAGGGATTAGAGTGCAGTATTGCAGGCTGACTGTGCCTAGTCAGCAGTTCAATCCTGACCGGCTCAAGGTTGACTCAGCCTTCCATCCTTCCGAGGTGCGTAAAATGGGGGCCCAGATTGTTGTGGGCAAGAGGCTGACTCTGTAAACCGCTTAGAGAGGACTGCAAAAGCACTGTGAAGCAGTATATAAGTCTAAGTGCTATTACTATAAACCTACTTCAAGTCTATGTTTACCAGACAGGATGTCCTGCAGGAAAACTACATCGTGCCATTCTTTGTTCTTTTGGCTGTTGCAGGAGGAGCTCTATAGCAATAAATACATACATCTCAATGGTGTGGTTCTTTTTTTTTTAAATTGTATTGCTTTGTCAAAATGTAAAATACAAAGAGAAATTCAAAAATGTAAGGGAAAACTAGGAAGGGTGGGGGGGGGAGAGAAAAAAATATGGTGTACCAGTACATACAAGCCACTTCTATATCAATGAATCTGTCTAGTTAGCAAAAACAAAATCAAAGTTTCGTTTTCTTTTTTTCATTGCAAGGACAACATCCGGAAGCAAATTAAAAATAGAAACCAAGATAGATAGATAGATAGATAGATAGATAGATAGATA